CATATCACATGAAAGCGCAGGACTAGAGCTTTCCAGTGATACCACACACATCATTGTGCTGTCATCCCATCATGCTATAAATACAGATTGATTGTCTACAAAATAAAAACCTGACAAATTTCTTTACAATCCATTATACAGATCTTGTTATCAGTCACTTCATATAGTGAGGAAAATCGTATCTCACCACGTCTTAGGCTTGTGTGTGTTTCTCCCTGTCGATCCACATTTGTAGTCCGGCTTTCAAGATGCAAACATCTCCATATTGTCCAGTTCTTGCGATAATGAAAAAATACTGGCAATCATTTCCGCCTGGCACAAACCACATGTTTTGGACAACTGTGAAGTGACAGAATGTCCCACCATCATGGTTCTTATATTGCCAGATTCCAGAGAGTCTCCCCTCTTCATATACGGAAGAATATGTCTACTTCCAACTTGCTATGTTGAGATACATGTAAAAATGTAAGAATTTAGTAACACGGATTTGTTTTTTTCATTGATATAAAAATTAATATAAAATACAGGCACATAGAAGGACATGAAATGATGGCAAATCTGGTTAGCCCAGATTGTCCTGAAAAAAACAAACAAGATACAGCATGTGCATGTAGCCTTTAGAATGACTGTGATATGAGCTTAAAAGTAAAGGCAGTAAAAATACCCCCAAAACACCTAGGGCCCATAGGGTTAACCTGTTGTATGTTATTTAATGCTGTCATTGAGTTATTGTTGTGATTGTTTGCAGTCAGGTCATTGATTAGTTGGCTTCGCCAAAGCTAAGTGTTTAGTTTGCTAATACTGTTCACAAACAGATTCTCGCACACAACTAAACAATTTCTGCACTAATCCAGACTGTTTGCAACACAAATTACATTGGCATATAGTCATTAACAAATAGGCTTTCAACAGAGCTACACCCAAACAGGCATCTCAAAGTTCCCGCTTCTTTTCCTTTGCCATTTTGTTTTGTAGGCCAAATGGCTCTTCGATCACCACACCCGCCTACACACACACACACACACACACACACACACACACACACACACCAAGTTTGTATATAGTTAGTTAGAATTTGTGTGTTTTGGTTTGCTTTACTAGTTTGTGAATAAATATAATTCTTTGGAATCATACCTGCTGTCTGTTTAATGTTGCACAAGGGTGAATGAATAGTCAACCTCAGCTGCATCCAGAACTCCGAAATCCTTCAGGCTTTACTGTTAATTTTGGTTATTGTCATTAATTTAATTATTAATCAAAACTCCAAATTAATAGTTTAGCATATTTTATGAGACTGATATCTTTAACTGGCTATCATTTTGCCTTTACGGGAATAGTGCCCCACAAGGTGATTTAATGTTACTTAAGTCACATGATTTAACATAATTATTAATTATTATTAATAATTATTAATTATTTCCGATAGCCAATTGACCCCAACATAATTGGTGCCTCCGTGAGACGCCCCGATTTATGTTCACAACATAATTGGTGCCTGTGTTTGAGACCCAGGAATGTTATATATGTATATATGTGTTCAGAGAGAGGGCTGCTGTTATTGTGAGGTTGAAGCAGGGGGAACCTCTGCCACCAGAGGCCTGGGCCTTTTTCTGAATGCCAGCTCCGGTTCCTCATCTTCAGGTGACTCCTCCTTGCCAGGTGAAAAGGACGGATCATCAGTCTCTCCCTCAGTCACCTCTCCCCCATCTGATTCTCTGTCACTTATGTCCTGAAGCATCACCAGAGCTTGTTCAACATTCATCCATTTTCTCTGGTTCATAATTAGGCTACACGATCCACATCTCTCTCTTTTCCTCTTTTCTGTCTGTCTGTCTGTCTGTCTGTCTTTCCGTCTGTCTGCCAAAACTAGCTTGCATTTTGCAGAGAGAAGTTAGAGTTTTATTGTGACACAGTTACAAGCATTTGAAAATGGCGGGGGGGTAAAAATGACCCCTTGGTGGTTCTAGTGTTGATAAATAATAATAGACATTTTCCTCTTGCATCAGATCTTGTGAAATATCGCTTCCATGAATCTGTTTAGACAGATAGCGACAGATAGCGACAGATCAATGAGGTGATGCCGTGCTGCGTGCGGCAGGCAGAGCATGTGCAGTGTTGTACAGTCTAAACGTCAAAATGATAATTAAAAAAGAAAATATCTATGTAATCATTTCCAATATTCAATATTGTTTTTATCTAACGAAAGATTCTGCTTCAGTCCATATTTGCAACTGGTTTCTACAAACTAAACTTAGGGGCGTAAACGCCATTGTGGGGGATCTCATTAAAACTACGAGTCCGGCCAGGTGACAACAGGGATCTGTCACAGATCGGTGAGTGCTCTATCATGGACCAAACGCAAATTTGAAGTGGCTGCATCTGTACATTACCGATCCTTGAATGGATGGAAGAAAGAGACGCTTTGTGGTGTGCTGCTTTTGTTAGCTGGCAGAGGAAGGCTGGAAAGAGCTTTGGTTCCAGAAGTAGTCTTTGTTGTGTCCCTTGTTCCAAAGGTGAAGAGCCGAGGAAGCCAGTCGCTCGGGGTCCTGGCAGCATTAGACATTGGGGCTAACTCACTTGGTTCTCCTTGTTGCTGGAAAGTTAGTTGCAAACCTTGTGCTTGCACCCCTAACGTCTCTGGTTCAGGTTAAGAGAGTCTGTGAGCAATTGCCCTCCCTTTAGTGGTTTGGGGGCAATGAGCAAGGGTCTGGGTTGGTTGGCAGGCCAGGAGAAAGAGGCCTGTCTGGGCCCAGAGGGAAAGAGAGCACCTCTGGGCTGGTCCACAGCTCAGGACGAAGAGGTGTGAGTTGCTCGGCAACTCAGGAGCAAGAGAGAAGACTGTCTGAAGGGAGCAGACCTTCTACAGTTGCCTGTGACATCACAAAGTCACCTATCACTGTAAAAGTGTAGCACATAGCACTCTTTATCTGAAGAACAAAGAGCATGCAGAGAATAAAAGCCTTCACATGTCCAGTTTAGATTTTAACAAATGACAAATCATCTGTGGTCCTGTGAATCCCAACAACGGATTAAACACTAGTATTAAGTTTGTAATGATGTGATCCCACCAATTTTGCTTCCCACTCATGTCTATAAAGACTGCAGTGAAACACAGTTGGGTTCTAGTCCTAAACTTTTACACACAATCTATACAGTCCAGCTGGTTTGAGAGAGGAGGTGGAATTGACCTCTCAAACATGAAGGGCCCTATTTAGATGGTCTAAAATGCGAAACACCAGGCGTGCGGCGCATGGGCGTGTCCCAGTCACTTGCTAGTTAGACAGCGCGTTTTTAGACTGTGCGCCATGGCGGAGAGTCTAAAAGGGTTGGACTTACTCTGTGAATTAGTCATGGGTGTGTTTTGGGCGTATCATTCAATAAGCCAATCAGAGTGTCACCTCTCATTCCCTTTAAAAGAGGCGTGATTGGAGCGCATGGCGGAGAGCTAGTTAGATGGTGGACCTCAACTGGAAAGAGTGAGCGTTTTACAGCTGAGGAGACGGATCTCCTCGTGCGGGAGGTGAAGGCCCGTCAGAATCAGATCTACGGGGACAGCAGACAGGCACCCAAGCTCCCCGAGGTAAAGCAGGCGTGTGATCACTAATACAAAAAAGATCTTACTAAATATCTGTGGAATATTATTCAAACCTGTTTTCATCATATAACAGAACACAGCTGTCAGACTGCCGCGGAGCTCCCCAAGGTGCTGATCCTGCAGCTAGGACCTGTTCAGCGTTTTCTCCCCCACCCACGTTTGTTAATTGTTTTCACATGTTTCCTAGAGCTGTGTTCTGCCTCTTATTTGTCCTCTCTACACTCAGATAACAATATAATAATATAATATAATGTAGCCTCGTATAACATGTTAAAATAAATGCAATGTGTGGGCTTTGGTTTTCAATCAAAAAAATGATTGGTCAGATAATTTCACAATTTCATTTGTCATTATTACAAATTAAGATGATCATTATTACTGCGATTAGATCATTCTGATTAATGACTGACCATTAAGACATGTTTCTGATAAATATTTTAATGTGCACAATAATAATCTTTCACATTGTAATCATATTTTTATTTGTTATCTTTTGCATATGTGTGGCTGCTCTGTGTGTGTCTGAGCAGAGTGCACGCGCATTGTGCACCCGCCTAGAGACTAACTTGTTTGAAAGCGAAATACTGCACCGTTGACTTTAGACCAGGTTTTTGTTGGTCACTGGCGCATTTGCTTTTTACGTCATCTAACTATTAACGCGCCATGACTGCGTCCGACCACTCCTCATTTTTAGACCAACACACCCAGAGAAGCGCAAGTTCATTTGCTAGTTAGACGAAGAGGGCGCAGGGCATGAAAATGACAACTGCGCCTGCATCTAAATAGCAATGACACTTGCGACATGGATTATGCGCCCTCCGCCGTCCCCTTTAGACCATCTAAATAGGGCCCGAAATATTGCTTGTTTATATTGTTGAATGCTGATTGGCTGCAGGGGGTGTAAGGGCAGTGACAGAGGTTAATTACAGTTTTTAAGTGATTAATATTAAGTTGTATGGTTTACAACTAGAATGCTGTTGTTAGCCTGTGAGCCAGACTGACTGCACCTTAATGAGTGAAACACACATTAATCAAAGTTTGGGCAAAGTCTGCATTTTGGATATGAAGTCCCGAGTTGAGTGCCAGACTTTTTGATTTTGTCAAGTTAAGTCTACATTAAGTCATCAGATTCATGAATTTGAGTCTGACTTGAGTCGCATGACTTGGCCTCCAAACCTCTGACATACCATTAAAATTAGGTCCAAGATGTATTCATGTATGGTGGGTTGTTTTCATTTCTGTAGCTTCTTCTGGAATATATTTTGGAATATGAACAGCTTACTGGAAATGTATTTCCATCTTCTTTCAGTCCATGTACAAGGAAAAACTTGCACTTCCATTGTGTTTCATCCTAGGAATCCTAGAAAGTTCAAATCTAATCTTTTCCTTGTTTGTCTCCTTACAGAGGGAGAGACTGCGGAACATTGAGAGAATCTGCAACTTACTGAGGAAGGTAAGCTGAGAGGGACAAAACACTCCATGTTTGTATCATTCAGGTTCTGAATGTGATAGGTAACTGGCATGTAATTATTAATGGTGGAAGAATATGTACTACAATGTAGTGTTGTCACAGTACCAAAATTGGGACCCACCGTACAATACCAGTTAAAGAATTACGGTTCTGAGTAGTATCACGATACCACAGCAAAAATTAGGCAAATGTGCCTTTTGTCATTTATAAACATATAAATCACTTTTCTATGATACATCAATGATATTTCAATGGAATAAATTACTTATTAACTAATTCATACTTCAAAAACAGCATCAATCAGTGATGAACATAGGGGGGATCAAAATAAAATAAATAAATAAAATAAGAATCAACCAGCCACCCTCCTCCCCTGACAAGTCCCTTCATAAGTAACGAACAGTCCCTAAAGTGCGGAGAGGTTTGTGGGCCGTGAACGGCTCGTTTCTCCTCTGACACATCACATACCTGTGTTTGGCTGGCTCGGCTGTTCAGGTACTTTTGAGCAGTCATGATGCCAAGAAGAGGATATTATTGGAGCTGACTTCTCCGTCGCGGTAAGCCTATGGCCGCTGTATTTGACAGGAATAGACCTACATTACTGTCTGTGTCTGTGACCCCCGTTCAACCCACAACCGGTGGGATTTGCCTTTCGTTTCTGCTGGTGGTTAAAATCTTTATATTTACATTTATAAAAAGATAAATCACTTTTCTATAATACATCAATGATATTTCAATGGAATAAATTACTTAATGACTTATTGATACTTTAAAAACAGAATCAATAAGTGATTAACATAGGGGGGGATTAAAATAAAATAAATAAATTAAATAAAATTCAACCAGCCACCCTCCTCCTCTGACAAGTAAAGAACAGTCCCTCCATAAGTAAAGAACAGTCCCTAAAGTGCGGTGAGGTTTGTGGACCGTTACCTGCCACAAAGAGAGAAATGTGAATGGCTCATTTCTCCTCTGACACGCCACATACCTGTGTGCCGCCACGGCTCGGCTGTTCGGGCACTTCTTGGCAGTCATGACACCAACAAAGAGGAAATTATTGGACCTGGAGCCGGGCTTCTCGGTCGCTGGTAAACCGTTATCTTGCGTGGCCATAGTGCTCCGCCGTATTCCTGTCTGTGGCCCCCGTTCAACCCACAACTGGCAAGATTCGCCTTTCCTTTCTGCTGCTGGTTGAAATCTGTACTCGCACAGCGTGCTCCTGAATGATTTCTTCTGCTCGCACAAAATAATTAAACTTAGGGTTAATACCTGAAATATCACTGGAAAACAAACCACTGCAGCAGTATATTGAGTGCCAGGTGGCCAGTTATTGGACGGCGCATGGACACTCACCCTCTTGCGACTGGACTTTGAACTTGTCCCACTGTAGTGGTACCGTGAGGTACCGTGGTACTACGGTACTCCAACATTATGGTATCATATGAACCGTGGTGTTTTAGTACCGCGGTCTACCGTTGGCACCAGTATACCATGCAACACTACTACAATAGGAAAGTACCTAAAATGAAGTGAAAAAAAAACAAAACAACAATGCATCTTTCCATAAAAAGTCAAAACTGTTTGCAGACAACACTAGAGCTTAGATTCTCTGCCCGAGCCCGGCCCGACCCGGCCCACGGGCCCAAGCCGGGTCGGGTCGGGCTGGGACCACCCACCCCTCTGACGGGCCCAGGCCGGGCCCGGTCAGATATGAGAGAGAGAGAAAGTCAGATATGATAGAGAGAGAAATGGCTACAGGTTGGGGGTTGCAATTCACATATACAGAAAGAGAGAGAGAGAGGGGGGGTGGTAGAGATAAGTGGGAGGGACAGCGGCTTTCCGTGCCTCCAAAAAATATGCCCTATTCATTCAGTGTTTACCCAACACGCTCAATACATGGACATGAAATGACAAATTGTCATTAACTTATAAGGTAAAAAAAAAACGATGAAAATGTGGACTTACCCATGTTTAAAATGACCTGTTGAAGTGAAAAAATGAGTACTGACGGGAACAGATGAGTGGAGTCGAGGAGAAATGCGCTGCCTGTGTGGACAGTCAAGCGCCTGCGAGTACACTTGCAGGACTTCCGCGGCACTAACGCGCTTGGTGTGTCCTTAGCGGTCCCGGACATAACGTGCTCAGGCTGGGTCGGGCTGAATTTTTTGGGCCTGATCTAAGCTCTAGACAACACCTTGCTTCCACCTCATTTCGTTTTGGCTTCATATATCTGTCATATACAACCTGAATTGCATATATTTATATCTGCTAGATATTGTAGTCGTACCCCTAGCAGTATTTTCCTCATCACTTTTTAGAAATGACATTTTAGCATTTGATTTTTGAGTTATGTGTGATTTAAACTGCATTTTAGTATTCTATATGTGTAGTTTAGGTAGTTTCATTTTTAATGCATTTTTGATTTGCTCAGTGTTGCTCCCGTTTTCTTTTTGCCTCATGTTGCACTGACATTAAAAGGGAGACAGACACTGAGAGATTTTTTGCTGTGTTCTGCAGAGCCTTGCTGTCTGTTTCCTTGTGTGTGTGTGTGTGTGTGTGTGTGTGTGTGTGTGTGTGTGTGTGTGTGTGTATAGACAGTTTGCCTTAAGGACTAGCCAGTATGGGGATGAAAAGAAGCCTTCTCCCAGCTTCAATGTGACATCTGTTTCTCTCTCTACCTCTCTGAAACACACACTCAAACATCTCATGCATGTGTGCATGCAAGTGTGTGTGTGTGTGTGTGTGTGTCTTTTTATGCTGGGGGTTCATTGGTTGAACAGCTGATCTTGGTTATCAGTGTTGTCAACTTGAGCCCTCGGGCCCTCCACTGGCCCCTTAGGAGGACATTCTCCCTACAGTGCTTGTACAGAGACAAATACACACATGCATGAACACACAAAGCAACACATAGTACATGCACACACACACACACACACACACACACACACATGCACACACATCCAGATGCACTGTCCTTGCAGCTGTGACCTACTGTGGAGGGATCATTGGAGGTAGCTGCAAATGTGCTACCACAATGTCACTGAGCAGCAGCTTGAAGTATAGTACCACCCAGTTTATGTTTACTTAAAGGCATTCCAATCAATATATATATTTTTTAATGAAAAAACATCTTCCAAAGCCAGAGATCACAGATTTTCTTACCCTTGGGGGAAATCAATAAACTGTATCATAAGGCTGGGTGGAGAAAATCAAATACAGTAATGTCACAAATTATATCGCAGTATTTTTTACCAATACCTCAATATTGCAACAATGTTGTAGAGTTGAATATTGGTGCTTTAACAAAATATTAACATAATGAGAGTTTTGATAAATAGTTATCAGTAATGTGGATGTAAGGATTGAGTGGCTAAAGGCAAGTACCAGAACAGTGAGAACAGTCTGGTAAGTTCAGAAAATTACATCACTGTACTATAATGGTCTTTAAAACCAGGAAAAGACAACACTTACAATATAAAGATATCCAAAATCTAAGACCATAGCTAGTCTCTAATCACAACATCGATGTAATATCCATACATTGCCCAGACCTATGATCACAGGCTACATTTTCAGCCGAAATTGTGTGATGAAAAGCGGGTATTTTAAGCTTAAATAGACCTTTTCTTACCCATAACCAGTGGTCGAATTGTGAGTTTTTAACAAGGGGAATGCAATGTAGCTTTGATTTTTTTGCATGCACACATAATCAAATATGACAGCACAGATGTGCAAAATTAATCAAGATAAATAAAAATGGCATGACCTATACCTGCTGCCTTTAAAAACACAAATAATGCAGTAATATTGCTATTGCAATACAGACAAAAACAGTTTAGAGTATAAATAAGAGTAGTTCTAAAATAGCTGTGAAAATTAATCTTAGTCACACTTATCCTATAGACATTTCCTTAGCCAGCTATAATTTCTCCTTACTCCTTGGGCTGATAATTGGTGATGCTGTCAGGTCCCTGTCCTGATACCTGCCTGGTTTCTCCCTTTCCCTCTTCTATCTATTGCAGTAATATAGATAATAAATGTGCAAAGCAAAATTCATCAATAGAATTAGGAATAGTAGTAGTGACATAGCTGTGGAAATTAATCGCACAGTCACTTTTGTACTCTAGATATTTTCTCTCAGCCAGTTATAATCTCTCCTCACCTGTAAGGACCCTGCATGATCATCCTTGCTGGCCTCTAGTCCACTGTCTCCTCCCTGACCCTGCTCTTTCTATTGTGGCAATAAAGATTAAAAAAAATATGTGCAAAGCAATAGTGAGCACAAGTTCTTATTAAGGAGGAGTGGGTTTTTTCCTAGCATGAAACTACCTAGCAAGGTATTTAACATAGGTAACATTAATATTAGTGTTCTTGTTAACTAGCTTAACTTTATACATTGGCATCTATTAATTAGTCATCATTTAGCTAACATTATCTACATGCAACAGCATTTCTCAACTTACGCTGGCTGGTTTGCTGAACATAGTTAACACAGCGGCACTGTCCATCCACTGTCTCATCTGTGCGATTGATTCAGATCACAACATGACAGCATGTGTATGCGCCTGACACAGTCCACTCATGGTGTGTTTAAAGACGGCTCGGAAAAACACGTTACCACATGTTAAAACGAATTGAACGGTTGTAACGGCTGCAAAAAGTGCGGGGGACAGAAGGCACAGATACAGGAAGTGTAGGGGACATGTTCCCTGTGTCCCTCTCTCAAATTACATCCGTGCCTGCACACACAGATTCTAGATTAACAAGGGGGATGCTTTTTGGTCAATTTTCTAACAAAGGGGATGACATCCCCCCTCATCCCCCCTCAATTCGACCACTGCCCATAACCAAGTAGCTTTTGTGCCTAAACTTAACCACACAGTACAGTGGCATGCAAAAGTTTGGGCACCCCTGGTCAAAATTTTGTTTACTGTGAATAGTAAATTACTGGAGTATGCAGATTGGTGTATTATTTTTGTTTT